TCCGAAAGTCATTTAAATATGTAGGAAACATAATGGGAACCAAAACGTCCCCTGTAGAGCCTTACTATGAGCGGTTTTCCAATCGCCTCTGAACGCCCCAATACGAACACGCTAATGCCTGCCTATTAGAAAATTGGCTAACAATTTCAGCAGATTACTAGCTATATAGACTTTATGCAGCTCTGATATCAGTCGTCCGTGTAGAATCCTGTCGAAGGCTTTGCTGAAGTCAATGTAAATAGCATCGACCAAGAAACCCATTTTCAGTGAATTCGTTCAGCTTTCCATAGATGATAACAGGTTAGAAAGACGGAACTGCTCGTCCCTTAATCTATGTAGATGCGCACTTAGTAAATTGTTATTCTCAATGTGCCTTACCAGTTCCATTCTGGTTATTTTCTACATCAGTTTGTAACAGATGCTTCTGAGACACTCGAATTTAAATCTAGGATGTGAGTCTCCCTCTCCTTCGTTGTAAAAAGATAGATTGACTTGCTTCCAGTGAGTACGCAGAGCCCTCCCCTTTATCGAACTTTCATGGATCTTGGAGAGCAAGCTTGGATCTGCAAGCTTGTTCAGGACGTTTGCTGGTCTGTCATTCATACCAGGTGCTTAAGTGGACTGTAACTGTCTCTGCATTTTTCTTACTGTGTCTATTGCTAGGGGCACTGGGCTAATTTTATCTGTCGCCGAGACAATATATCGGTATACTTCCTTGTGTTAAGGCAGCTACTCGTTATACGCAAAAACAAAGGCTGTAGGTAACGATTGCCTCTTATCTGAATTATCTGTGAACATGTTTCCCCGGTTGTCTTTTAGACAAGGAATGGATTCCTGGCTGTGTTTTGCCATATTTACATAAGGAAAGAACCTTTTTGCATTGCTTAGGATTTATTTGACTTTCGATATGTGAGTAATCGGGCTGAGAAAACACCTCTTTTTCGGGGATGTCTCAATCGAATTCGCTTTGCAAGGAGACGATTTTCCTGCTCTTTACTGCTTTGGACGAATTTGAGTGGTCGCGCTCTAGTCGTTTGAGTGAAATTTACGCAGCGTTCCAAGCAAAAGGATTTTTAGATATACTTTTCCTCCAATAGTTGCGGAATTTTATTGAGAGCAGTTGGAAGAAAACAAAGTCTGTTGTGTTTCGTTCCTTGGAGGTGTTGATGGTGGATTCTGAGTGTCCCTCGATTATGGTGCACTCACTCTGGTCAGGATTGCCTCTGCTTCATTTGGATTCGTCATTCTCCGCTAATACCTCTAATATCGGCAAATGGGGATGGTGAAATGGGGAGGCGGCATCCGGGGAGGCTATGCTCTGAGCGCGATCTATTTTGCCTTCGCCCACTGTTCTCTATGCAGTAATTGACCGTGTCGAAGTTGAAATTTACTTAACTCGG